TTTAAAATTGCTTACGTAGGATGACTGTGAGAAGTCTATATATCATTAATTAGGAAATTTGCGCGGACGGAGTATGAAATTTCCCACGCTTATAGTATACTAGCTGACGCGGCAAACGTTGTTTTGCCATATAAATTATTTGTAGGGTAAAAAAAAATGTTTGGGGTGAAAAATAGATGTCGGATTCTCCACCCTGGCCGATATGCACACAAAATTTACACGAAAATCGGTCGAGCCGTTTCGGAGGAGTTCAATTACAAACACCGTGACACGAGCATTTTATATATTAGAAGATGAGATCACTCTGTATACAGCGTGTCGTTACCAACGCGACAATAAATGAACACATATACAGCGTGTCGTTATCATCGCGACAATAAATGAACACGTTAGACGTTACAACGTTAGACGTACGCTACTTGCCAATAATCATAAAAAAGTATAAACGTTAATTTGTATCAAAAATTTACATTCTTCAAACATCAATATTTACAAAGTTATTAAATTTTCCAAAACAAAGAATTTTAGAACACCCTTACGTATAAAACTGTAACGTAAACTTCATTTGTAAAGGTCACAAAGCATATGAATGGGTTGAATGAATTTAAAAGGGACAAAACATACTGCTAGAAGGAGAGGCTTGTAATGCGACGCTAAGGCGCGAGTTGCATAGGATGTTACAAATTTTGTTTCTTATTTACTTAATTAGTTTGTTTGAAAAATATTTTTTTTAATTATGGATTTTGTTTAACGTTAATATTTTTTATGATTATTGGCAAGTAGCGTTAGACGTGTGTTCATTTATAGTCGCGATGGTAACGACACGCTGTATAAGAGTAGGAGTGCAGAATTAAAAATAATAATAACTTCTAAAAAGCAATGGCGACATCTCTCGTTCGAAATACTGGAAAAGATATAACAATGGATGCGCCAAGCATTGCTTCAAATGCTAAAAAACAATGTAGATAAAAGACGTTAAGATTTTCGTCGGTGTGGCAATCAGCCGTTTAGCTTAGTGGCTAAAGCGTCAGGCCGCGAATGCCGAAGACGTTGGGTTCGATTCCCACAGCGGCGACAATCTTTTTGTACTTTTTCTACAAATTTTAATGTTAATTCTTAATTGCAGAGATTAGCGCTATAAAACATTTAAATTTAATTAAGACACTCCAATTTTATTTATCTGTACTAATACATAATAACAATACATCGCACCCATGCGAAGCCGGCGCGGGTCGCTAATATACCATAATTGCAGATTGATAAAGTCTGATATGTTAATTTATTCGCACTGTGAAAGCCTGCTTCTTGCCAAATTTCGCGAGTCGAGGTCAACGGGAAGTGGTCGACAAACAGGTTTTCGAGCAAGACTGCGTATCTGCTAAACAAATTGGCGATATCTTTTGATAGCGTTGTCACTTTTTAACAGACTCCAAAAAGGAATTAACGTTGAGTCTCAGTTCGGTTGAATTTATTTAAGGTTTTATACCTCGAAACTCCTTCGGTTATAAACCTATTTGGAATAATTCTTTCTTGTTGGATTTGGTTACTCATAACGTTGGCAGTAACAAAGAACAAAACCGATTTCAAAAATATCACCCGTATATTATACATCTATTACAAAGATGCTACATCAAAGGTTTTATTCGTATGTTTAATAGCTTATGGGATAGTACATCGCCTATATAGCAGACCCTGGCAATTGCTGGGATAAATGCTAGGTAGAAAAGGGATATTACATCGCCTCTCCTGATGTCCTAGTCATCACCGGGCGGGCTATCGAATCTAGGTCCCCAATTCGATTTTCATCGCTAATTGAATACAATTCGCTTCATAATTACTGGCCGTAACCTTGAATATATTTGAAGATAAAAAATATACATACCAAACCAAAATTTTGTTGGGCTGAGCATTTACTCGGAATTCCACTGAACCGTAGCCATAGTAGACGCTGAAATTAATTTTCTAAGGAATCTAACGATAACGGTGACGATATTATTGAGGTGTATGAAGGGATGGAGTGCTTTTCCCAGCAGTGGGATGGAACAAGTCCATAATAACATGTATACAATTAATATACTCTTAAGTCAAATCCCCATCCACCATTTTTAAGAACATAAAACTTTGATTAATCGAAATAAAAAAGCTTACAATAATTTAGGAAATCGTATAGACGTAAACTAATTATTTTTTAACCTTTACACAACCTATAAAAATGGTTAGAGCATTCATTCAAGTTAGTACAATTGTTGCTTGCTTCATGAAACATGCGTTGGATAAACTTAAATTTATCAAGTGGCGCGGAACATTTAAATCGTACAAAACAATTATTATGCGATTGTCGCATAGATTATCTTCCGCTACATTCGATACCTAGATAAGCTAATAGAGAATAACTATTGTCATCATCATCATTTTGCAAACCTGCGTAAGCAGTCGCTTCATAGATTTATCCAAAATATATTTAATCTACATTACTTCACAGATCATAAATACAAAGTTTTTCGTGATAAAATATATACAGTAAATATAATCTTGATAAAATATTTATCGCGCTAACTTATTAACATAACATGATGTGTAGAACACAACCACAATTTTATTTGCGCCGATCGAAAAGTTATTTAGCATCATTTGGCCGAGTCGTGTTAGCAGCCTTATCAGTAAGCGCTATAAAAAAATTACAAGTCGCAAAAAAAAAAACTCTAAACGAAAACAACGGAGGCTTGTTTACAAAACAAAAACCGCCGCCGCCAATCGATATGTAAAAGTACCAGGCGAGCAGAGTCGAAGCGGAGGCCGCTTATTTACGTCGGCGCAATCCGACCGAATTGAGGAGCAACTGTGTCTCGAACGTTTCCTTCGTGGCGTGGTTTCACCGTAATTGTACCAAAGCGTATGTTGAAATACTAGTTTTCCATCAATGGAATGCTAACCGATCGAACGAGAATGAGTTGATCGATCTAAACGGTTTTAAATATACATAAGTGAAATATCTAGATAGTTGATATCTAGAATCTAGATATAATTCGGCGCAACACGTTAGAACGTAATTAGATAGCTTGTAGGCAAAACATCTCAAGGACGTCAACAAAGACAGCTGTTGTGAAATCTCTAATTGCTGCGTAATATGCGCACGTAAACAAAGTGGTCTTATCGGATGTTGCCTGCAAACAAGATCTTGCACATAAAAATATCGCTGAAGCGAAACTTGCGAATCTAGTTTCGCGTCATGTCCTGTCCATTGTTTATTTACGAGAAAAACTCACCGCTCAAGTCTTCGATGGTGTTCAGCTTCCGCGCAGCCATTTCTCGTAATAAAACCGGCACAACACTTCGAAACGTGCGGCTCTCGATTGTTCTCTCACTGTTTATGATATTTACGCTTACAAAGATTCACGTATTTAGATGGATGTAAATCCTAAAAGCGACTACCACAAGCCGCCTTTCTTTGTGTTCTGTTTTGAATTTGATTTGCTTGCGCTTGACAGCCAAGCAACTTTTTCCTTTTTACTATTCGCGTAAACTTGACCAATAGACGGCGATTTTGCTTTCGTTTCATTGGTCCATGATTTATAAGCAGAAAAATGTTGCAATGTGTAAAAAACTGTATATAAATAAAAAAATAAGAAAGGGCTATTCCAAGATATATAAAAGTACTCTTTGGCTATTCCTGGCAAATAAGGTTTAAATACAATTATATGTACACGGTTACATTTCGATAATCGTGACATTTATTTTATTATGATATCGCAATAAACTTTAAATACCGGTAACCAATTTTCATCGTAATTTTACAATCTATTAATGTATATTATTTACTAAAATGTCTTTCTAAAATCTTTTTAACAAATGAGTGACCATTTCAATATCCTGCCGTAGGTTGTGACTATGCTGTGAAATAATAAATAAGAAACTATTTAAGTTAGCATGGATTAAAGCTGGCGAAAACAAAGACGACGAACAAGTGGAAATAAAATGAAATAATGGTTTAATCAAAATTAAATCAACTCACTTTATATTAACTTTATTTTCAAAAGGAGATAATTAACTTATTTACAAAAAATAAAACAAAATTTATAAAATTTTAGGAATCCCTCCAAAAACACCAGTCAGTCAACTCCACCAATTTCCCAGCTATATCAATATAGATCAAGTTGGTAGATGGCGTAAATATTACTCTCCTAGCGTAAACTTGTATTTATGCTAAATTGCTAAATATTAATCATTTAATGTAGCGACTTTAGGACCGTATGTTCCTACCCAACAAATTTTTATCAAAATGATTTCCTCAACTGTTGTGATTAGTGTTCTTGTCAATACACATCACAAAGTATGTTTGCTTGATAATACTTTTCCTAGTTAATTTATAGTTAAAATAGAATTAATTATTGTTGTAAATAAAATTGTTACGGCATAAAAATTTTTTGAAAATAAAATCTATTTTCAAGATAAAAATAAATTAAATTATCTTCCTGCTACACGTAATATGGCCTATGAAAACAAGAGATGATAACTTATAAAGAAACGACAGGAATTTATTTGTTTCAAAATTAAAATTCTACGTTGTGTTAAAAATTACAGTATGAAATATTGGGCGCACATTTTTATATACAGGGATTATAAAAATATTTTTAGACAATTCTACAAATTCTGATAGAAAGTTTTTATTGTAGTTATCTTGTATCATCGTTCGTAAGTATTATAAATCGTAAAATTAATTTCTTTTATTAAAACAGTAACGTATAGAAGCAAATTAATACTTCTGCAAACAATTATGATCCCATCATAACCATAAAGTTTTAACGTTATTGGGATCAAATTGTAAAATAAAAACGATAAACACCAATATAGTTCATGTCAAAATATTAACGGGCAACACGATCGTAATCTATTTGCTGTCACATTGTCTATACTTTTGTTCTATTTTCTTTGCGAAATTAGTGATGAAGTTCGTACATTGACCGCTATAATATTTAAATTTAACTATATAATAAATCGTGATGAACATCAATTGCATAGATGATGAATATCCATCACCACCACTTATCGACGAAATAACTAGCCCTAGGTATGCAGTTTTATCAGAATAATAATTTTAGTTCGTTTCCTTCGTACCTGCCTGACAGCTGATTTTGAGCGCCAAAGTCAAAAGGCGCCAAATGATCAGAACGTGTCATTTTCTATTCTTAATTTTTTAATAGACCTAACGGTAATCTAAGTGAATTTTTTAGGAAAAAGTTGCGCGCTGATTGCTCGGCGCGTAAAAGTTGGAGTTTAATGGACAGAAGGACAGACCAGGAGGTAAATATATAGTTTGATTCCCGCTCTTTTCGTCGTTTTCTATTTGGTCATTAACGCGAACTGTGAAGGAGTTTTCTTACTTCTATTATAGTAAAGTCATAGACATCTAAAGGATTCAGTACGTAGGCAACTTCCAAATAAGCTGAAAACCTTTCTATGCAATAAAGGAATTTTAATGGTGGCCTTAAATTATTATACTTAGTCGTAACTTAAATTATTGCCGCGTAAGATGTTCTATATGATTGATTACGAATCGCTGACTGAGCCGTATGAACTCGTGTTTCTAAGCTCGGTAATAAATAGACGCTTAATTATTTAAAAGTCTTCAGTCATCAATTCTATGGTAGGACCTGACAGCTGCACCTGATACTGCACAAACGGGCAGATTCTTCTGGGCAAGTTGTATATGTCCATGGTTGTGGTAATCACTTAACAGCATGTGAACCGCTACTTGCCATATTTTACATAGTAAAAAATGTAATGGATTTGAACTAGTGTACTGCCTCTTAATCCTCTATTGCATTCTTTGGATGAACATGTTTACCTTTTGAATGAATTTATGGCTAGTGGTGACTGTTGTTTTATTTTATGTGAGAAAGTAGCAAATGAGCTGGCGGTCCACTTGATGTTAAGTGGTGACCGCCACCAATGGATGTTTGCAACACGTTTTCACAACGTAGGGTTGCAAAGGTGCTGCCACCTTTAAATAAAGTGGGCCCTGGCTACATACTTCTACTTAACGTCGGTCTTCTGTAAATTCGTGGTACATACCCGGATTGACCTACCCATTCGTGCAACAGTGTTGCGTGGCCCTACCACCGTAGGATTGTTAACAATTTATATGCTATACAATACCTTATAAATGGCGGAAAGGATTGATAATATAGATAATGTATACAGTTATGTATTGATCTTACACTAATCCGTTGTTGTTAACTCTATACATAAGTTCACGATTTCAAATAAATCTTGGATTGAGTTTATTTTAAGTTAGAGGATCTTTCTTTTTTAATAATGAATATTTTATCATTTTGTAGTCAAACTTACATCAGGCACAAACAAAATGTCTTACAGTGCAATAAATTTGTTCAGATAACTTCTAGTCAAATACAAAGATTTAGATATAACAAAAATTAAAGATTAACACAAAGTTTCTTCCCAAAATAATAATGCGCACCGAGATTGTGTATCAAATATGTTGCTTAACACATTTTCTGAAACACTGACCATTGTAGAAGTCAAAAAGTTTGAAACACCATTTGGCAGCTGATTAGTTGACATCTACGATTATCAGTGTTTCAGAAACCGGGCGTAAGTCTTGTTCATTGTTGTCATTGTTACCAAGGATTCCCTTAAATGCAGACAATAATTCTTTCTTCTATATACAAGCATACACGAGGATTATTTTCATGCAGTAAGTAGCCCACTCAAATTATAACTTGTAAAATATGTTAAATGTAAAAACACTGGTGGAGAACTGTGTTTAGCGTTAAGCTTACCTCTGTATAGTCCTTTTTTTAAAATCCATCATTTGTAACCATTATTTTACACTGTTTAGGAAACTTGTATTTTAGAAATAATAACAAAAAAAGTATTTCGAAGATATGTGAAGTCCGCCAATCCGCAGTTGGATAACAGACTGTGGCTAATACCCTCTGTACAAAGGCCTTTGCTCAGCCATGGGACTTTTAGAGGCCGTTGCTTTACTTTCCTTTTGATTTTACGGCTGTTTTTAAATGAAGGTGTTACAACTAGGTGCTACAGGAGATGGGTGTCAGCCTTCTGGAGCAGGACGATAATGAGGGGCACTGCGAAGTGACAATTGCACCGGTGAGTTCATTTTCCTAGTCGTCCTGGTAAGTTTATTATATTAGTTTATTATCCATTCCTCCCTCTCTTCTGCAATATCGCAAAATATCGCTGCTTGAGCACACATCAACAAGACGATGCGCAAAGAAAAATTTTAAACAAGTTGTGCGTCTGTCCAAACGTAACTATCAACTGATTCCGCTAAAATAGATCAAATTCTACAGCGTGTCTTTACCATCGCGACAATTAATGGACACAGATATAGACGATAACTTTTTTAAATTGTATTAAACATTTACATTCTTTAAACATCAATATTTACCGAGTTATTAAATTTTCCAAAACAAACAATCTTAGAACATCCTTACGTATAAAACTGTAACGTAAAGTTCATTTATAAAGGTAACAAAGCATATGAATGGGTTGAATGAATTTAAAAGAGACAAAACATATTATTTTAAGGAGAGGCTTGTAATGAGACGCCGTGGCAACAAATGAAAAAGTCTCGAATATATGAAAATATATGAATCAGTCAGTTATAGTTGTATGGGTGTTACAAATTTTGTTTCTCTATTACTTAATTAGTTTCTTTGAAAAAAAAAATTTTTTTAATTATGGATTTTGTTTAACGTTAATATTTTTTTATGATTATTGGCAAGTAGCGTTAGAAGTGTGTTCATTTATTGTCGCGATGGTAACGACACGCTGTATATTACTAGTTCACTTGCACACTTGATTTTAACTTAGTATCACGCAGATATTAATAAAAATATGTAGAAAAAAGGATGAAAAGTTTCTCGCCGCTGCGGGAATCGAACCCACATCTTCAGGATTCTCGCTCTGCGGCTTTAACCAGTAAGCTTTTCCAAGCAATGCTGGGCGCATCTACTGTTGTATCCTTTACAACATGTAAACAATTTCAAATATCGTTCTACATCGATAATTCCACTTAGCGATATCACCATTGCTATATGAAAATTAAATTTGTATAGTACTAATGCACTGCACTTAAGATGAAACATTTAAAATTTGTAGAAAAATGGTCGAAAAGTTTCTCGCCGCTCAGTTCTTTTATCACTACATAGTATAAAACAAGTTGTCCCGCTGTCTGTCTGTCCCTATGTATGCTTATATCTTTAAAACTGCACATTGCACCTGTGCGAAGCTAGGGGGGGTCGCTAGTCTACAATGTTTAGTATTCCAACGCAGTGATTATCACTAAAAAAAATTTGAATTACGCATGAATTAAGTTAAATAGTCACTTGCTTGAAAACTTGGACGTTCACAGCACAAGGCGAATTTGAAACGGAAGCGCGACGCGGACATAGAGAACGTGAACCCGAACGCGAACAGCGCGAGCCCGCAGCGGCGGCGGAGCCCCAGGAGCCCAAGGAGCCCTAAAAGTCCCAGGGCGAAGGCCCGCCCCAGCCCCGGCCCCTCCAGGCCGAGGAGCCCTCGCAGCCCCCAAGGTGACGATCTTTTTTTTGTGTGACATGTTTGCCAAACGAGCGAACGGTTCACCTGATGTTAAGTGAATACCGCCGCCAACCCGAGGGTTGCAGATGCGTCAACAAGCTTTTTAAAATTGGGCTCCGGCCATCTCAATCACCAGACGAAACGCGAAAGTATTACACTTCCAGTTTACGCCGGTCTTCTGCGAGGTCGTGGTACTCACCCGGACGAGCCTGCCCATTCGTGCAACAGCCGAGGCTGCTGCGTGGCCCTACCACAGTTGAACACATAATAATGTGTATTACATATCTCGCTTTATCGCTCACAGCGAAACCACTGCAGCCCACCGATCCGCTGGAGACCACCCTGCTCTCCGACTACCTGGTGGAGGAGGAGACCCCGCTGGCGCAAGTGAGCACGCAGTACGTGCCGCCGCACCAATCCGGCTTCACGTCCGGCAGCACGAGCAGCTGCAGCGGCGGGAAGAAGCACAGCTATACGCGTGAGCACACACATAAATGTTCGTCAAAACTTGAAGAATCAAATGACACATGTGTGTACATGTCTGTCACAATTTGAAGAAACAAAGGGAAACCCGGATCGATTCAATGAAAATATCTTTATTCGACAAATAAGCATTACAGTTACTTATTGATTGTCAAATTACTGCTATTGGTTCAAAGAAGAAAAGCGACTGACCGTTTTTTAACGCGCCAAGCATTAAAATTTATGGGAACAAAGTACGAAACATCAGTATTCGCCAAGCATTGCTTAAAATGCGAAAAAGACCGGCGACCGGAAGACGCGGGTTCGATTCCCGCGGTGGCGAAAAGTCTTTCGAGAGATTTTAATAATTGGTGTGTAATGAATAAGGTAACCGACATAGCTCGGAGGATTAGCAAACTGAAGTGGCGACGGGCCATATAGTTCGTAGAACCGATGACCGCTGGGGAAGAAAGGTTCTCGAGTGGCAGCCTCGTACTGGCCATCGCAGTGTGGGACGACCCCCCACTAGATGGAGTGTCGACCTGTGCAAATGTGCGGGGAGTCGATGGATGCAGGTGGCTCAGGATCGTGCTTAGTGGCAGTCTGTGGGGAGGCCTGTGTTCAGCGGTGGACTCAAACAGGCTGGAATGATGATGATGAATGAATATACATATCCGTCTTGTCTACTCCAGCGCTCGGCCTGGAAGAGGAGCTTATCATCAGCAGGCGGTCGAAGTCGGAGCCCCTCGGCAGCGACACCTTCTCCGTCCTCTCCGACGAGATGATACTCAGCGTGTTCAGGTGGCTGCCGAAGAGGACATTAGCGCACTGCATGCTCGTCTGCAAGAGGTTGGTTTCTGGCGTTCCACACTGCAGGTGAAGAGGGTTAACTGTGGTAGGGCCACGCAGCAGCCTCGGCTGTTGCACGAATGGGCAGACTCGTCCGGGTGAGTACCACGTCCTCACAGAAGACCGGCGTAAAGTGGAAGTATGAGAAATACTTTCGCGTTTCGTCTGGTGAGTGAGGTGGCCGGGGCCCAATTTTCAAAAGGTTGTCAACGCATCTGGAACCCTCAGGTGTAGCAGATGTCCATGGGCAGCAGTATTCACTTAATATCAGGTGAACTGTCTGCTCGCTTTGCAACTTTTAACATAAAAAAGCCACCTTGCAATAACAATCTGCATTAGTACAACACGGTATCACATTGTGAGGTTACTTTTAATGAGTAATATAAACTTTCAGGTGGTACCAAGTGGCCTGCGATGAGACGCTGTGGCAGCGTCTGGACTTGGGCAACAAAGTGCTGTCCAGAGATGCTCTTGGGAGGATCCTAGCCAGAAAACCGGTAATAGTGAGGCTGGCTAGCACAGAGGTAAGTGTTAACTTGGTAAATTGACCAGTCTAATATAAATTGTATCGATAACAACACAAAAGCAGTTGGTGCAGGTGCCTAGGCATAGATTTCTGCGTCATAGGTTGAGAGGGATTGCGTCTATTTCCACCTGGAATAAGGGATTGTTACCTTCAGCTAACAGGTCATAATCTGATAAATTGTCACAAGATTTGGGGTAATCTTGAAAAAACTGGTCAAGTGCGAGTCGGACTCACGCACAAAGCATTCCGTACCATTATCAATAAAAACGGCAAAAAAAATCATGTCTGCTGTATGAAAGCTCCACTTCAATATTTTTTTTTATCCGGTTTTTTTTTTTGTATTTGTTGTTAAGCTACAACAGAAATACGTCATCTGAGAAAATGTCAACTGTCTAACTATCACGGTTCATTAGATACAGTCTGGTGACTGACGGACAGACAGACAGAGAGCGGCAGTCTTAGTAATAGGGTCCCGTAATTTATCGTCTTTTTAGGGAATTAATGGAAAATAAAATTATGAGGCAGTATTTGTAAAAAAAAAATATCTTTTTGTCGTGCTTATCTCTTCACTTAAGATTAAACATTATATTAAAATTTTTAAAAAGCAATGGCGACATCTCTCGTTCGAATTATCGTTGTAAAACGATGTTCGAAATTGTTTGTATGCTGGAAAGGATATAACAATGGATGCGCCAAGCTTTGCTTCAAATGCTAAAATACAATGTAGATAAAAGACGTTAAGATCTACGTCGGTTTGGCTATCGACCGTTTAGCTTAGTGAATAAAGCATCAGGCCGCGAATGCCGTAGACGTGGGTTCGATTCCCACAGTGTCGACAAACTTTTCGTACTTTTTCTACAAATTTTAATAAGAAAAATTGTCTAGCAAGCACGCGGTTGACCTGAGGTCACCTTAGGGCTTTGCCGATGCGTTGACAACTTGCAAGAAAGTGGGCCCCGGCTACCTCACTCACCAGACGTAACGCGAACGTTAAAATACTACCACATCACGCCTGTCTTCAGTGATTAATACTTCCCAGGCCGCGCCTGCTCATTCGTGCAACAGCATGTTACAATACCACAGTTATTCGCTTTGCTATTAACTGCTTTTATTTAATAAGAAAATGTAATTCCTCAGATAGCCGAGTGGAGGCCGTCAACACCGCCCGCGCCGACCAGGATCCAGTACTTGGACCTCAGCATGTGCACAGTGGACCACCAGACCCTCGACCACCTGCTGGAGCGCTGCCCCAGCCTGAAGAAGCTGAGCCTGGAGAGCGTCGAGCTGCGAGATGCAACCTGCAAACTGATCGGTAAGACAACACTGCAACAATGCAACCGGCATTAGCCGTCTAGAAAAATTGCTTTCCTTGTATCTTGACGGTGGTAGGGCCACGCGACACCTGCACGAATGGGCAGGCCCATCCGGGTAAGTACCACTACCTCACAGAAGACAGGCGTGAAGTAGAAGTGTTACACTTCTGCGTTTCGTCTGGTGAGCGAGGTAGCCGGGGCCCACTTTATTATAAGTTTTGCAAATGTCCATGGGTGGCGGTTATCACTTAACATCAGGTGAACCGCCATATCGTTTGCACTTTCTCACGTAAAAAAAATGGCCGCCACTCGAGAACTTCTCTTCTCCGACGGTTATCGGTTGTACGTTATGGGCCGGTGTTGAGTGATAACCGCCGCCAGTTTACATTTGCAACACCCCATTGCATTGCAACCTTAAAATAATCTGGGCCCCTATCCAACTGCGCGAAATTAGGTCAAAATTATTTCGCTAGATAAATTCAACCTTCTAAATGAAATGTTAATATCAAAAATCATCCATTTAATGTGAACGTGTCTCCGTCAACCTGCCGGCGTCCGCCTTTCCGTCCGATTACAACGTAGGCGTCTTCAAGGCGAGAGTGGATAGGTTTCCACTGAGCTAGCGCGCTTGCCATCAACGGCTGCATCGCCACTCACCATCAGGTGGGATGGCAGTCGAGTGCTGGCCAATTCGAAATAAAAGAAAAAAATTAAAGAATATCTCGTGTCAAATTCGCAGGCGGATGCAGCAACCTGGAAACGTTAAACCTGGCCATGTGCCGGGGCATCACTGCCGAGGGGCTGGCCGAGATTTTGAAGGGGTGTGTCAGGTAATATGACTCTGAAATTCATCAAAGTGATAATTGGTGTGTGCAACCAATGATGTCTAATAATATAGCTGACGCGACGTTTGGAAATTGTTCCGCTTTACATTATATGACATGCAAGCGACCCGCCCCAGCTTCGCGCGGGTGCAATGTATTATACATGTGGGAGGATAAATTAAGGTCGTTTCGCTAGGGAATCTCCTTTATTACGCGGATTAACAAATTTTTCTTTAAGAGCTCAAACGTCGTTCCTACTGTATATCGCCATTACTCTTTTTTTTCCCATCCCTTTCACACAGATCTTCCTTTTCCTAACTTCCGTTCGATCCGTCTCATGCATCACTTATTCATTCATCCCACATTCGGCCATCCTACTATTAGTCTGTCCTCAGACTAATTTAACATAAAATGATTTCACATTACATAATTATACAAATAAAGATACTCTTCCATACTCCGTTTACAACATTGTGTATCTAACACCCTTCCATACATATTCAGAATGAAATCTTACACTAATGGCTTACAAATTACATATCTCAAAACTTTTCTAGACACATATACAATTATTTTTTACACTTGTGGTACACAGTTGGTATATCTCAACAATTTTATACACCTATACAATGCAATTTTAACTTATGTTGACTAAACAATCAATTTTTAAACTTATACTTATGGCTATTGACAAAAAACAAAAACAAACTTAATATATATAAACCTTCCTCTTGAATCGCTCTATGTAGTAAAAAACCGTATTAAGATTTTTTGCGTAGTTTTAAAGATCTAAGCATACACAGGGATGGACAGATAGTGGGACGGCTTTCTTTTATACTATGTAATGATATAAGTGAATATGACAGATGATGTCAATTCGAATTCAAAATATCTTCATTCAAATAGAAGCTTGCACGTTCTTATGAAACGTCGAGTTTTACGGCAAGGATCTCAAATTTGGTGTAAAGAACACACAATGACCTCTAAATTTGTAATTACACCTTCTTTAATCTTCTTAAATTTGTAATATATCAAGAACACACAATGACCACTAAATCTGTCATTATCGCCTTCCAGCCTGCAAGCGCTGAACATATCCTGGTGCAACCTGAACGAGGCCGCCCTGAACCTGCTGGTGACGGCGCTGCCCCAGAAGCTGCAGCGGCTGAACGTGGGCGGCGCGAGGATCATGACCGACGAGAGTGAGTGCAGTGTTGCCAACTGATTCCAAAAAATGGCCCTCAAGTCAAGATGTGATAGCCCTGAAAAATAAAATTGCCCAAAGCCCCAAAATTCCCTGCATTATAATCAAAGATATTGTTATCGAGTTTCAAATTATGTTATTGTAAAGAAATATAACTTACTTTTCATTACAAATAGTTGAAATAATTAACGTAACTACTTGAACTGGTAGGTGGATATACTATGACAGGACCACGCAATAGTTTTACCCAAAGGGTAAAACTATTGCGTGGTCAGGACCCTTGAAATTTTCACAGATGATGAATTTCTGTTGCCGCTTTATCAGCGAATACTAAAAAGCATTAAAAAAATATTTAAGCGGGGCTCTCCCATACAACAGATATGATTTTTTGCCGTTTTTATGGATTATGGTACGGAAACATTCGTGCGCGAGTCCCGACCCGCACATGGTCGGTTTTTAATAACCGATTAGACACCTAAATCAGATAGATTTCGTCTATTGATTTGCTAGAACTGATTATTTGCTCTCCGTCCGTAAACTATCAAAGCTTCATCGAACGCAGAACCTACTAGCTAGTCACGGCCGTACGTAATTTCGGTATTCGGTACAGCCGCGCTCCTTTTTTTTATGGAGAAAAGGGGCAAAGGAGCAGGAGGCTCACCCAATGGTAACTGATCACCGCCGCCCATGGACACCTGCAACACCCGAGGGCTCACAAATGCGTTGCCGGCCTTTTAGGAATGAGGATGCTCTCTCCTTGAAGGTTCCCAGGTCGTGACGGTCCGGAAAGACCGCCGGCGACAGCCGGTTCCACAGAGTGGTTGTGCGAGGCGGGAAATGCCTTGAAAATCGCGCATTTGAGGAACGCTCGAACTCGAGGTGGTGTGGATGAAATTTTCGGTTTTACCCTCTCATGCGGGCGTAATCTTAAACCAAAAGGTGTGACGTCACCGAGTGGAGGCTCAGTAAAAGGCTGCCGTTTCACCCTTTGGGTACGGAACTTTAGTATTTGTTGTTGCAGCGGCAACAGAAATACGTCGTCTGTGAAAATTCAAACTAACTGTCACGGTTCGTGTCATACAGCCAGACAGGCAGGCAGCTTAGTTTTACCGTTTGCGTAAAAAGTAAAAGTAAAGTATCAGCCTATACATGTCCCACTGCTGGGCAAAGGCCTCCTCTGTGCATAGGGTATCTGGGCATAGTCCACCATGCGGCCCCACTGCGGTTTGGCGGACGTCACATATCTTCGAAGTATATATTTTTTTGTTATTATTTCGAAAATATGCAGGTTTCCTCACGATGTTTCCCTTCACCGCCGACTTAAACTCACCCGAGTATATCGAGTTAGAGGCAAGAGGCCGGACACTGAGCCTTCGCGGCCGTTCGCGTACGGAACCCTAAAAGCGGAGAACGTGCCCGTTGCAGTGGTGCAGCAGCTGGCGTCGCGCTGCCCCCGCCTGCTGGAGCTGGATCTGTCGGACTGCTCGCGGCTCGGCGCGGCCTCCGTGGCGGCGGCGCTCAAGCTCACCAGGCTGGAGCACCTGGCGCTCAGCCGCTGCTACCTGCTGCCGCCGCACGTGCTCACGTGGGTGGCCTAGCGGGCGGTCGCTATATACTTTCAACGGATAGATTTCGTTACATTCCTCATAACATTCCTCGTGCTATAAATGTGCCTCAATTGTTAATGTGCCTCTTGGTTTTCACTTCTTTCATAAATATCTTGTGTAACTTTATAAGTATTAATAATATGAGTCTATAAATTAAGTTGGTAATGGGATAGTAAATGTATTTTTTTTGTTCTTGTTGTAGATTCGGAAGTATCACACAAATCGATTTTTTTTTGTAACTTATTAATAAGTGTGACTCCCATGACTGACATGACATTAATAAATAGATTTTTAGGACATGTTCTTTTTACACAACATTCTCTAGTCCCAAACTAAGCAATGCTTGTACTATGGGTACTAGAAAACGGATAAACATGCTTAAAATACTTTTCTTTTGTAAATAAATACACATTATACATATATAAACCCAGACTCTAGAAAAACACTATGCTCATCACACAATATTTTTCCAGTAGTGGGGATCGAACCCACACCCTCTGGCACAGGAGGCAGGTACACTATCGACTACGCCATACGGGTCGTCAAAGTCATTGGCAGAATTCTTTTAAGAGAGGCCATTAATCAAAGAAGAAGATAGATTTTGTTACTGGTGATAGAATTCTTACATATACTGTCCATAATACTGGAGCTAATGTCTAGTATCTATTGCTAGTGACCGAATCTATCTGTTGAAAGCATATAGAAATTGGCCGTTAGTGGGCTGCGTTGTGAGATTGTGGCTATAGTGAATGGGTTGCAATGTATTCATACTTGCGGCTGCCACACGTGTTCAGGTGTCTGTAGTAGGATATGTTATGAGTTTGAGGCTTGCAAACAGTTTTATTAAAATTTTGCCCTGCTGGCCCGAACATGTTCAGCATTTTGGTTTCATTGTGAGTTTGTCGAATATTATCATGTCAGATAATCTATGAAATAATATTGATATCTAAAACTCAGTCAGTTTAAGAAATTAAAATTGGTATGCGTGACATAGAAGTACTTATTATATTTTTGCGTTTTATCCAATGAGTAAGGTGGTCACACTTTCGAAGGTTACCAATGCATCTGCAATTGTGTGACGATCGCTTCTCTTTGCAGGAAACTGGGCAGTATGCCGTCGTTGCAGTACCTGGAAGTTTGGGGGATGCTGCAGGCGGTTTCGCTTGGTGCGTTGAGAGCGGCCCTGCCCGCCGTTCAAGTCAACCAGTTCATGTTCAGGTTGGCATTTAATATGTTTTCAGAGAGTCCTTTTGTATTTTTTTATGTGAAAAGGTGGCAAAAGATCTGGCGATTTACCTGATGTTGTGTGATAACCGCCGCCCATTGACATTTGCGACACTCGTAGGGTTGCAGATGCCTTGCCACCTTCTGTGAAGTCGCGATACTTAGCTGGACGGACCAGTCCATTCGTGCAACAGCGAGGACTGTTGCGTGGTCCTGCCACAGTAAAAAATTGTAACAAACTATTCACCTATTGGCAAAATACCATTCTGTTTGTATGCTAACGTTTCTCAAGCAGTCGTGTACTTTGGTACATGCTTTAAAACAAGTATTATTTTTAATTTACTATTTTATATCATGACATCAGGTCATGACCTCGTGTGTTTAAACTTCGGAAATTACAATCAAAATTCTTTTTTATGTGAGAAACTAGATGGCTGTTCGCCTGATGTTAAGTGATAACCGCCGCCCATTGATATGGAGGTTGCAGATGCGTTGCCACCTTTTAATAAAGTGGGCCTGCGCTACCTCACTCATCGGATGAAACGCGGAAATACATCCACTACACGCCGGTCTTCTGTGAGGTCGTGGTACTTCCCTCGACGGACCTGCCCATTCGGGCAAAAGACTGTTGTGTGGCCCTACCACAGTTGATAAATAGTTTCACTCTGCAAATTATAAAATAAATGTTTAGCAATGGTATTAGAGTCATTAACTAAATGCTCTATTAATTTCAGTGCAATCGCGAGACCCACTGTTGGTGCCAGAAGAACCTCCATATGGGGCCTCCGCACTAGAGACTGATGTATGAGAGAAGAATGTATTAGAGGTGAAACTACGTGTCTACTTGAGCAACGTGCCTCGGCAAACCTGAAGAGGGGCGATCCCATTGCAAGACCATGTAGGTTCAGTTACAGATGACAACTTTTGTAACCGCTCTGTGAGGTCGTTCCAAGATAATTTTAGTTAAAAATACTCTGAATGTATATTTGATTTCTTCCTTGTGTAAGAGTCTGCGATAAGTTACTAAATTTTACTGAGTGCAAAACTTCTATTGAAATGGTTTTTCTTCCTATTTTGAAACTATATACATATTTATTTTTGAGGTTCCGATTTAATTTAGAATATATGTAGGTTACATTAATGAAGTAAAATTCAGTAGATATAATGACACCATTAAAGAGTGAAAGTCTATTATTGCAGAGAAATCTACAGCTGCATTACCTAAGTATCCATTACTTTAATGTTAGTACTTATTTTTTTGCTATTACATGTTCTATAATTATGATTTACTTCTGTCTATTAACCGTTTTATTAACTGCTTCACACTTGTCTTTCTCAAAACTTGTATATGTTTCTTTGTATACATTATTTTTATTTGATTTTTTTCTTCTAATCTTATTAGCATAAAACTCTAAATCAAATAAATGTAAGAATGATTTAGTATATTCTTTAACTATTGTGCAGACATCTGTATGTTGTTTACGGCAGTGAGACAAATTACATTATAAATGTTGATTTGATGGTTATGCAAAGATACAAAAGCAAGTGATTGTCAAATTAAAAGAACACCATATAAAATTGTATTAACTATCCATCACTTAATTAAATGACAAGCTGTAGGTAAATTGTAACTTATTTTAATATTTTGTTTGTTGAATTATATAGAGTTATCAGTGTTACATCCACTTGTTACCGAATGGAGTGAAAACAAGACAAATCATCCAATAATAAACTTAGTGTAAGGTATTGTGTATTTTTATAGTATTCACCAACTAGTAAGGTATGTCGACGAGTACTGTGTCTATTTAAACATTGTCTATTGTATTTCCACTTATAGAGCGACTCATCCCATCTAAGCCGCTGAGTGTGTGTAATAGACATGGAGGATGGACTATCTGTTCTGCTTCCGATTGAAGCTTCCTGTATCACTAACAATTTACTGCGAGTAAGTGAAAAGACCGAGGTAGACAAATATAAATTTGTCTACAGACCTGTAGAATAATAATAAAGGTTAATATAAATTTAAAGTAGACTAGACATATCATTTTACAATAGCGAACACATGTACATATTCTAATTTTATAAGCTTTGCTTAAAAAAAAGCAATGGCGAGATCTCGTTCGAATTATCGTTGTAAAAACGATATTCGAAATTGTTTATATGCTGGAAAGGATATAACAATAGATGCGCCAAGCATTGCTTCAAATGCTAAATAACAATGTAGAAGGAAGGCGTTAAGATCTTCGTCGCTGTGGCTATCACCCGTTTAGCTCAGTGGCTAGAGCGTCAGGCCGCGAATGCCGATGACCTGGGTTCGATTCCCACAGCGGCGACAATCTTTTCGTACTTTTTCTACATGTTTTAATGCTTTGCTTAGTGAAAAGTGGCGAGTCATAAGATCTGAGGTTTATGATCAGTCCATTCTCTATGCGCGTGTTTATGTTCGCCACAGAAAGACGGTTTCACTCAGCAGTTTTCAGTGCACCCAAACAGTCTGATGAAAATGGGCATTTGTATAGTGGGACGGAGCGACACATCTGAGCATAGAAGATATATTATTATAACTGAGGAGCGTCGGAACAAAAAACGGTGAATCACATATCAGGTTCTTTCGGGAAGTTAAAAAATAATACATATGTTTATGGCTTTCCAATTTAACGATTATGTAGGGTAGAATAATTATTCTACCCTCCATATTAACGATGAACAAAGTTTGCAGGTCTTGGTAACACTGTTTTGATAACCAAATCACAGGTTTATTTTGTGTAGTATGTGATGAGAAATTTAAAAAAAGCAAAATAGATTTATCATTTTTTAATCAGACTGATGGATATTCCAATCACGAAACAATTCGATTGATTTATCGGTTTATGTTCAGATTTATAGTCGTTTATAAATAGATTGGATACAAGATAGCTATAGATATGTACGTAAACTGCCGATTGCCATACTCAAAATAAATATGTGAATTACGGTTTTTGATAGTTCCTCAACTGTAAATATGTCAAACATTTTTCATGTTCATAAAGAATTGTAAACGATTAGATAAATCGATTGTATTAATAGCGAGAAATATATTTTGTCGTCCGTTTGTATTTGTTTTGGCATTTTTATTATAGACATTGGTAGTTTGGAAAGAGACAACACTGAATTTTCTCTTGATTACTATGGTTGGTCGCCTCACTTAACATATTAAAAGCCAAAGTACGATGACTCAGTGGCGGAGTTGCTAAAGTATTGCCTTCGGCGTCCGGGTTCGTGAGTTCGATTCCCGCACGGGACATCTATTTGTGTGACCAACAGATGTTGATTCGCATCTGGGTGTTTGTCCGCGTCAAATTTATGTTTGTAAAACATCCTTACAAAACAAGATAATGTTATCCTAAAGTAAGGGCATTGTTTTAAAAAAAAAGTTCCCTGCCTGAATCTCTTCTGCAAGGCAGTGGTATTTTCCAGTTGAGCCACAATAATAATATAATACATAGGATAACATATCGCCAACACATTTTAGATTTTCATGATTATAATAAATCTATTGACTACACAATAAGATCATATATTGCAGACACATTTTATTAGTAAAATAAAACTGAACAAACACCCATATCCGAAACAATTAATTTGTAGTTTATTAAAGTACTTGTCGAACTAGAAATCAAAGCAATGACATGTTGCGCCCAATCTTTATGATCACATTCCAGTCATCAAATACCAGGCCATAAAATCTTTAATTAAAAGTCGTCAAGTTGATGAATATGACTACCCAAGTATTTAATTTGTAAACTGCAATGGAAAATATCAAATTGGGAAACCTTTAAGGGTTTGGACAATCATGTGTATCATTCAATTTTACATTTACGAAGTCACCTCTTTTGGCGCGTTTGGAACAAATTTTGATAGTAAAATTTTTACGATGCGCGCGCATACCGACAGCCGAAAAGCGACACGATGAACTAGGTTGCGAAGCAACCGATGTCGAGGTATTACCATGGCAACCAATAAAAAAAAAATCACCTATGATTCTAAGTTATTTAAAACTATAAGTGTCTACAAATGAATAAAACAAAATTTTCCCTTTTTAAAGTTTATTTGCATGTTTTTCCATTGTTTTTTTTTTTATATTTGACATCAGTTGAAATTGTACCAATCAATCATAACCTGATTAAATAAATATGAATAGATTTAGGTTAAATTATCATTAGTAACACTAATGGCCGGTTTCTGAAACACTGATCATCGTAGATGTCAACTAATCAGCTGTCAAATGGTTTTCAAATTTCATTTCAGTTGCCAAAAGGATGGTTAAACTTTTTGGATTGATCGCTCTGATCATATTAGAAGATCAATTCAGAGAGTTTAACAGTCCTTTGGCTGACGGCTGATTAGTTAACATCTACGATGATCAGTGTTTCAGAAACCGGGGGTTAGTCAGTTTCTAATAAATTGAAAACAAAGTTAGGTAGAGTGTAACATGGTAGGCCCCATAGTAGCGTCTGCTGTTTTATGAATTGATAAACTCATCCAGTATTAAACCAGCTTCATAGAATAATGGAGTAAAGTTATTATACTTTTGCGTATAGCTTGCTAAATGATGCAACTAGGGCTAACCCTCAACAAATGCTATAAAGAAATAATGTCTCTACCTACATTATCATCTTTTATTAAATAGCATTTGATTAACCATTGGTCTGATTGAATTTCTTGGTAACTAATTATTGTTTTGACCAAAATTTTATCCATAACATCACTTGAAACTTCTCTTCGCCTTCTGTTCTGCTGCATCGCTTGCTTGAACAAAAGTCCTCTTGAGTTTATTTCGACGGCTTTCCTTGTATTTCTGGGAGACTTTCTCTGCTAATTTCGCGATTCTCTTCATTGTTGGTGCTGGGTACCTGAAATATGTTATGTTTGAAATATGAATACATGCATAAAAGTAATTAAGCTCAAATATCACTTCATTTATTTCAAACATAACATGCAATATTGTATGTTGCAGATGTGTGGCTGATCTCTGAAAGGACATTTGTTGAAGGTGACAGATTAAAAGCTGTTGATTATAATAAATATTAATTAGATATCAGATACAGACTGATTACATATTTTTTCAAAAATTAACTGATACATTTTACATGAAAGGGGATGGGGAATTGAATTTATAGTATATAGCTTGTTTTAAATAAAAAAAATAATATTTTACCACTGCTATGAAGCAAGCTTCTGTATATAATAATAAATTATGTTGCACTGGGGCCGTATGCCTGTCTGGACACCCGAAAATGGAAAGTCTGCCCTGTCGTGCGTAGGACATACAGAAGTTGTTATCGCCATATCTATTTATTGCCAACCCACCTGCAGCCCAGGAACTCGATGTTGGTGAACAGCTGTGCCAGTGTCACCAGCTCCTCCTCGTCGAAGTTGTCTTTATGCTCCATCATGAAGCTGCGACGCACCTCCCACTGCTCGTCAGATTCATGCTCCGAGCGTAGCGACTCCACGTCTATGGACGGCTTCATAATTGCTAAAGCCGTGAGGGCTGCCTAATTTAACAAATATTGTTGATAAATTTGGAGAAATCGATTGACGAGAATTATATCCTCTTTATAATGTGATATGGGGTAAATATTAAATAAAGGCTTTGGATTTGCATTTGACACTTTTGACGTTGACGTCTGTCATAATCATATCTAAACATTCTGTCAATTTTGTTTCCGTAGTGATGTAGATTTGCTATAAACGTCGTTTTATTCCGACCACGTTTTTTTGGAGTGAAACTTCTAATGCGACTTGCAACAAGGTTGTGTTAAACTTTTTAACGGTACCATGCAGGGGATATGAAAGCACTGTTGCATTAAACGTTCAAAACTCCTGTGGAGGGGGTATAGAAAGAGACCGAGTGAGAGTGAATGCGTGGCACTCGAAGTTTCACTTCTTACGCGCGGTGGGACTCTAAGCACTTTTTTTAAGTCTGCAGGCAGACAACTCACTGACAAAGCAGATTAATGTAGATGGTGCCTGATAACGCCTTCAGCGCATGATACACAATTTGGCTAGCAATTGGGACTTGCGACGAATTATAAAAGTATAGACTAAGGTCTTGCGGTATTCCCCTTATTCTAAAAGTATTTTTTTTAGTAGTAGTTATTCTAATATTATCCTTACTTCCTTACTAGTATTATAAAGGCGAAAATTTGTAATAATATTTGGATGTTTGTTACTCTTTCACACAAAAACTACTGAATACATTTTAATGAAACTACAATAATATAGCTTATGCATCAGATTAACACAAAGGCTATAATATATAAAGATATTGTGTGAATTGCACAAAATATAGGTAATGATAACTGTTAACTAAGTACCGTATTGTAGATAAAAAAACTCATTGTTAATTCCCTCTGGCCGCGCGGGTGAAGCCGCGGATAACAGCGAATTCATTGGTCAATAATTCACTAGTCTTTTGGTACCGCCGTGGCGTTCTTATTCAGAGTTCAAATCATAACAATCATCTGCGAGTTTTTGAATAAATTAATTTTCTATGCTCAGTTATGGAAGTTTGCAGTAGTGGTTATGAAAATGACGATGGACCGAGCATATCTAAGCCAAAGAAGAAACATCTGAGTACAAGCGATATATCAGAAAAAGAGAAATATCTTCTCTTAAAGTAATTGGCCGAATTGGCTTTAAAAATTAACTCAATACGGGGCCTAAAACTAATAATTTGATTAAAGTATCACCCTACTAGTGTTCTACTATACATTTTTTTCTAGTACTATACTAAATTTTGGTCCCCCCGCTTTCAACAAACTTAAGTATAACCTACGGACTTTCTCTTATGAAGTTGTATAAGCTGTCGGTCTAATAGCGTGCACTTCACAAAACAAGAAATATATTACGATAAAATACCGATTTACACTACACTACTACATGTAAATGACCTTAAGACAATGCCGTTCAAAGGTCGTTGACTTCAACATAGCACCAGATCATTACCATTTATGTACACACATTTTGTACCTAATCCTACCTTAAATATTTCATATTCTACATTAAACTTGATCAAAAACGTAATAGGCTTTCTTTAATCATTTTATAATACTTGAGAAATTTAATCTCGTAAGTAATAAAATACCTTCTTCATCTTCTCAATGTTTATTAAAATGGACAATTACAAGTCCATTTAATTAAGATAAATAAAGATTGAGAAAAATTTATTTAAAACAAAATGCAGAGTTTATTATCAACATATCATTATTTATTTTGACTTTAATTTTTAATAGCTTTCTTCGCTAAAACTTATTTAAACGGTTATTCGTCATTTAAAGAAAGAAAATGAAAATGATATTGACAGTAAAATTGTTACTAATTTTCACTGTAATAAAGGGACTGGCAATGAATTACTTTGTGGTTATAATACTGCTGTTTTAAAAAGTCGCTGTCACGCGTTCAAATTGATTTAAATCGCCTTACCTCCACTGTTCACACAATGTTCGTTTGAATTTACCAGTATAGCAGTTTCAAAACCGTAACGATTTGATGTCAAACCACAATATCCAGCAGTCCAGCACAAAGTTTGAAATATTAATAGTGTACTTTTGGAGGTAGTTGATAAGGCATGTAAAAACTCAATTACAAGTGACACGAATACGACGTTACAAATGAAAACATTGCAGGTAAGTTGAAAAAAAAAATGATCTTCCGCACATTCCTTTGTTACATCAACAATAGGCCTTGTTTGTTTTACATGTGTTGTTTTATTGTCTTCAGACAGTGAGCACGTTAGTGAAAGGTGAATCTATTTTGTGATACATGTAAATAAAATAGAATTACGCTGCTACAATGGCGTTTTCAATCCGCAAAATGCTCTCGAACATAACTTATTTCAAGAAGTCCGACGACAGTCCGGCCGTCACTGAGGCCCAGTTGAAAATGCGTAGGCACACGTACGACTCCGAGGAACCGGCGGCCACTAGTTTCGAATCGGCCGAGCCCGATTCCACGTCTCGCCAATGCACCAGCCTGAACATACCGGACTCTGTGAAAAAGTTTGCGGCCAAGAAAGCGTCGTTATCCGACACAGACCTCCTGTCGATAAACGTTGATGCGCCCATTAGGCACAGGCGTAGGCGATGCAAAAAGCTTAAGTTGGATGTGAAAAAGGCCAGTCAATCGATGAGTGAAAGGTTGAACCATTCCCAAGACGATGATAGTTACAGCTCTAATGTAGAAAACACGCCAAAACATATCCTATTAGAGTGCGTTAGCTCCGACATCTTCACTGAAAAGATGAAGGGATTTGATTTCAGCAAATCATTCGATATGTATGATGGCACATCAGATGACCAACTCTCGTCGCCATTTGAGGAGGAGAACCTCGATATAGAATCACTCTCAGATCATTCTAACAGTGATATTTCTAATGCGTCCAAAAAAAAGAAGTCAATAAAAATGTGTCGCAAAGTTGAGGCATTAGAGACTGGTTCTAGCACTGAAGAAAACAATTTGGCACCGTCTGCAACACCGGACTCTTTCGGGGATCTTGAAGTTGATAAAAGCGATGAGAGCAGAATGCAATTGCTCCTTGATTATCAAATTAAGCTTGAAAAAATCGAGTGTTTGCTCAAAAATATGTTAAATGAATTCCAATTTCACATTGAGGTGTCCAAAATTTTTAACAGCAGGACTATCCCTAAAGATATATTAAAAAGCAACAACACAAATGAGTCTGAGGGTCATAATAATGGGACTAAAGTTCAAAGAGTAAGTCCAACAGATTCTTGGAGCATAATTATGGACAAGGAGCATGACCAGACGAAAATAACCGTGAAAAAGCAGCTAGAGTCAATTAAGCACTCAATTGAAGATTTCATTAACATGTACCTGCAGAGTTGCAAGGATGACGCAAAGCGGAGGAAATGTAGAAAATACCTCGCCCATAGTCAGAGGAGCGAAACATTCGACATTCATAAAGGCCAGCGCTATGTACCCAAGCGTGTTCACATGACCAATAAGAAGAGAATCAAGCACTATGACTTCCCTGATTTGAGGGAAGCAATGATCAATCTGTTCTACCCAGATGCTGATGAAACATCAATGAGCAATTTAACGTCGAGCGACTCCGACGAGTCTATGTCGTCCAAATGCGGTTGCCAATGTCATCACCATGTTTCTTCATCCTCCCACACAGATTCAGGCCTGAGTGGCAAAACCGACGAGAGGTCTGTTTCAAACCAATCTATAACATCGTCAATCGGTAACTTCAGCTTAGATACCTCCACACTAACGGCTTATTCGGAATCACTAGACCAGATCCTGAGCTTCAGTAGCTTCCAAGAGGGGGGCTTGTTTGCCATGATGCTGCAGAAAACGGCGATTGAAAGGATTACATTTTACGTTCAAGTCCACAGTATACAGTTGAAGTGTGATGAAACGGAACACGATATTGAAACCAAAAGCACAATGACATTCCACTGCCCATCTTGCAAAAAGACAGAGGACGACGAAAACAACCTCATGAAGCACATTCTGAGCCAAGCTCATTGCGAGAAGATCCATTTTCAATACAAGACAGCATATATTAAGAAGTGTGTGTCAGCTGGAAAGGAAATTCAGCCCAGTACCGTGTTAAACCCTATGAGGATGTATAGAGACGACAATAAAATTGTATGCTTCGGTGATGCTATGTATGCTTGCACTTTGTGCCTCGAGAATTTGATTGTTGGAGAGTCTGTGCTGATGGCTCACTGTGCTGAGAAGGAACATGTTGAGAGACGCGAGAAGCTTGGCGAAATTCTAGAGTAAATGCATGATAGCATGTAGTTATTTACCCCTAGTACAGGCAGGCGTATTCATCATATCAAACATATTTTTGAGAAAGCTTTACCCTATAAACAAATCTGTTTGTATTTTTTTCAATTTTTGTGCCAACTAATAATGTAAGGAATAATTTTTGACTGATCTGTATTTAAGGAGTTTTTATATGTCTTATACAAAACTCATCTGTGAATATTCTTTAATTTTTATTTTCTATTTGTATTCTACACTTTTCTTTTTCTTGTAATTTTGTTATACTCTGTGCTGAATAGAAGGTTTTTAATAACAAAAAGGAGGCAAGAAATGCAATATAATCTGTGATTTTATATATGTAGGTAAATTTAAGATATTAGTGTGCCCTAGGAAACAAAGCAAATTAGAAATCAAATAATTAATACTCATTATATTAACATCAATACTCAGTTATAGGGGTCAAAAATAAATACATGTAAAACTTGTATACATTCCAGCCTTATTAGGTATAAGCATGTTATATTTAAAAAAAAAAATGCTCAATAAAAAACATTCTAATGTAAGAGAAACATATTTTTATAATTGAATTGTATCAATTAAATTAGTTAAGAGCTTGACTATTCCTTCTATTTGATTATTTCTTGATTTTATAAATTCTAAGTATTTTTTTCATCTTTCTGTCAAAATATGTGCCAGTGTTTCATATCCTGAAATGGTGTGAAAATTTATTGATTTTCTTTCACAAAAAATGTACCCCATTTGAAAATATTTAATGTGAAGGTAAATTTACATTATACATAGTTACTTGCTGTTATTTTTTTTTGATTGTTTGTTTTGTTGTTGCTGCTTTTATAACAGGAACGAAAAGCTTAATTAAGCTGTTCTAAATATTTTAAAAAAAATTGTTAATTTACAAAACTGTGATGGTAACAATTTGGGTTTTGAAACACTGGTTATGACATTATTGATCTCTTATGATTATTTGTTGTGTCATACAACTTTTTTTCTTTAGTATAACTTATACTCATCTGTTCTTTAATTTTATTTGAATCATTGTTGTCCCATTTTAAAATAAATGAAAAGCGACCAAAATATAATAATGCGATTAGTAAAAAGGATTGTAGTTAGGTATAACAAAAACAGGTGCTAAATTCGCCACCACTGCCCCATTGACAGTGATCTGTTAGCAAATAAATCTTTGTTATAAGTCTATTATCCCTCTTTTACATTTAAGTACACTTTCCTGTTACGAAATATCGAGAAAAAATATATATAATTAATGATACAGAAGCAAGAGGTGTTTTTTACTCTTTCTCTACAAAAAAATCTAGGTACTCTTTTTCGATCAAAGGCTTACGTACTTTAAAATTTATGTATAGTTATTTTTTATTTTATTACTTCATCAAAAGTATGTCCAGTCCAAATGTAGTCCATTCTATGTACATACGCTAAATGTATATACAACGTTTCAGATTGAATTCGCATAACTTAGATATTAACGAGACTGTACTTGAGCTCAAAGGTTTCTCGAATAAAAATTTATATTTGGTTTTCACTTTATTTCGCAACGTAAAAGTAAGGTTTCATCATATTGAAGACAAACTAAACTTTTTTTATATAAACGAAAATCAATATTATCTTCGACCTATGAGTTACGTGACTAATGTTCCATAATAGACATTTTTTTCTCTTTTATAGAGTTAGCTGGCGGTTCGCCCGATGTTAAGTGATGACCGCCGCCCATGGACCCCTTGCTATCTTTTATTAAAATGAAGTAGCGTATAAAGAAGGTCACCAGACGAAACGCAGAAGTATCACACTTCGTATTCACCCGCCGGTCTTATATCCCAGGGCTGAACTGCCAATTCGTGAAACAGCTCAGACTTGCGTGACCCTAATACTGTCATGGGAATTCAATGTAAACACGTTGTATATTTCGGAAAATATATAAAAGTAGAAAGTGATTTGTCGTCAAATTCGCTTTGAATCTTAACGAATGAATGAATGTTGCTAAGAGCATAACTCAAGAATGGCTGGACCAATTCGGCAAATTTATTTTTTTGTATGTTCCTAAAGGTCCACGGCAGGTTTTAATACAATAAAAAAAAAGTAACGAATTGTGTCCGGCAGCTAGTTTTATATATAAAACAAAGCTCTATTGATCAACAAGAAATTGCACAAATTAATGTAGTAAACAGGGTTATATGCAAAACATTAAAATACTATAGATTTTTCTGACATTTACTACTCCTAAGCATAAGTATGAAGTTTAGTTCGTTATTGTAAGATTTATACAGCGTATCGTTAACATCGCGACAATAAATGAACACACGTCTAACGCAACTTACCAATAATAAAAAAAAAAAAAATATTAACGTTTAACAAAATCCATAATTAAAAAAAATATTTTTCAAACAAACTAATTAAGCAAAAAAGAAAAAAGAAAACAAAATTTGTAACATCCCATACAACACGCGCCACAGCGTCGTATTACAAGCCTCTCCTTACAATATGTTTTGTCTCTTAAATTCATTCAACCCATTCATATGCTTTGTGACCTTTACAAATGAACTTTACGTTACAATTTTATACGTAAGTGTTCTAAAACTCTTTGTTTTGGAAAATTTAATAACTCTGTAAATATTGATGTTTAAAGAATGTAAATGTTTAATACAATTTAAAAAAGTTATCGTCTATATGTGTGTTCATTTATTGTCGCGATGGTAAAGATACGCTGTATAACTAAGGTAAAATATAATAATTATAGTTAACAGCATTGTTGTGAGCTACGTAATACGTGCCATTGCTTGAATTATAATTTTTATTGTAATGTATATGCCAGTACGAATAATGACTCATCTTCGTACATAATGTGACGTATGTAATCTATTTCTATATCTCTCTTTGTATACACTAATTTACTTCACTCTGTATTACTGTGAGTAATTACTGCCTTAATTATTATTTACAGTTGATAACTAAAAGCAATACTCTGTCATAACTGGCCATTAGTGTATTTAACCATTATACCAGATAACGTAGTTGAAAAAAAAATAAAGATGAAAACTGGATTTTCTACAAGTTTGCCTGATATTCTTTTAACGTCTACACTACGCAAATTGAAAAAAAAACTAACGATATCGTTAATAAGTTCAGTTTTGAATGTATTTGAAGTTCAAAGGATCTTAAAGTAATATGATTAAGAATTAAATTGTTTTCCAACTTGTCCTTTTAAAATATTTTCAGTCGAAGTTTAAAAATTCTGCATTTTAATACATTAATTTTCAATGCGATCTAGTTATATATGAGTACATGGGAATAGCATGTGTTATGTCGTCATTTTATTGTTATTTATTCTAGTGTAGCTGGTAGCACATTCTTTTGTATTGCATTATTGAAATAGAAGAAATTATGTTTTAACCTAGCATTTAATTATTTTATGAGTAGCGGAAAAGGAAAAATGATCTCAAATTAGAATTGATTTCATTTTTACGAAAGAATCAAGAAAAAGACTGATGTTCAAGCCAATGTACAAGTACAGAAAAATAAAATGTTGGAAGTTTGAGATTAAGATCTGAATTCTACGTCAAACTTGATAGAAAACTAAAATTGTCTCAAACTATCTCTGATGTAAGTTTAAAATACATTTGAAAATATCTGTTTGAAGGTTCATTATTATTATATGAATAATAATGTCGAAAAGATTTCATGATTTGCTTTTCTCCGTTTGGTCATGTTTCTATTAAATAAGAGTACCGCCTATTGTAAAAATTATATCGTTAGATTATTAATATTAGAATATGGTATATGATCAGTATGTGTAGAAATAGTATTTTGTATAACCTTTATAAAAAGTTATGTGCAATGTAAAAATAGATATACGAGACTTGAAAATAAAAAAAAATGGTATGTAAGCGACATAGGTTTGGTAATCCCGCCAATATATTCAAAACATGAGGCTACAGATAACAAATCAATATACGGTCTTTACGGTGGTAGGGCCACGCAGCAGCCTCGGCTGTTGCACGAGTGGCCAGGCCCGTCCGGGTAAGTACCACGACCTCACAGAAGACCAGCGTAAAGTGGAAGTATAATACTTTCGCGTTTCGTCTGGTGAGTGAGGTGGCCGGAGCCCAATTTTCAAAAGGTTGTCAACGCATCTGTAACCCTCTGGTGTGGCAGATGTCCATGGGCGACGGTATTCACTTAACATCAGGTGAACCGTCTGCTCGTTTGACAACTTTTCGCATAAAAAAAAAATCTATATATATATAGTTTACAATTTATACTTTTGAATTTTTTCTCGTACACACGTTAAAATTATACACCCAAATAGGTCTATGAAATTAAAGTAGTATACGTTTCGTGTTCGAGTGCCGAACATAAATTGTGATTTTTGTTTTGTAGAAATAGAGATTATTTCTTTTGCCCGGCGGCATGATTATTATTATTACTTTATCATTTTTTTTTCATTTTTTTTAATATTGAAACTGTAAGGATCTGTTCTGGGATCTGCTACTTTAACTATAAAATCTCAAAATAGTTATATTCCCTAGAAAGTTATTATTTTAACTAACATAATACTGAATGTACTTAGAAAAATTGTAGATAATACATATTCCGCGTAATGTTTTAGACGAAACTTAGCAAACATAATTTTTTTTATAGTCCATTTTATAGCTGTTTTTATATCTTAATACTGCCATCCCAATGAAAAATCATGTACCTATGTACTACTAATTTTAAAAATTGAAAGAATAATGTCACATTTATTTCTTAACTCCCGATAGTTTTACATTTTCTCTTTATCTAAGACATGGTTAGGACTGTTAAAATTGAACATATTGTGAGTTTCATGCCGGAGTTAATATGTCATTATATGTATAGATGCCGTTTCTGTGATTGCGAACTGTCGATGAAAATTTATCGAAATTATCGTTGATTAATAGTTTTAGATTGCCATTTAAATTCGATGCGATGATTCTGACAAAATTCCTATTTCTGTCGAGGAT